GTGAGTGTTGAAATGTGATTTTTTTTTCTTTTTCTCTTCTTGTACTTGATTATTTTTTTATATTTGCTCTCTATTTTCTGTGGTTATATACTTAGTATATTTGTCCATTGATTGGTTATTTCTTTATATTGTTGTAAACAGATCATCGTTGATGTGTTCAATTTTCTGAAATTGGATTGGTTTCGCTGTTACTGTTGAGCTCCTTTTCTGATGGTGTTCTGAGCTGTTACATAACACTGTAAATTGTTTTTTTCTAAAACCTAAGAAAGTTTAGGATGAAAAGAATAACATAACTGGATAGAGAGTATATTTTTCTTTCGCTTGGATTTTTTCTTGGTTATTTTTACTTTGTTCTTACCAGCATTTTATGAGTATTTTCTCATTGCAGTTGTTTATTTTTTTGTTATCATTACAATCATTATCATTATTATCATAATCATCATTATTATGATTGTTATTACTGTTTTTGTTGTTGGTGTAGTAGTTATCATTATTATTATTATTATTATTAACCTTATTATTGTTATTATGATAATAATGATATTGTTATTATTGTTGTTTTGTTATTTTTAGTAGCAGTAGTATTAATAGTAGTAGTAACAGAATAACATTACTATTACTACTATTATTGTTATTGTTATGTTATTATTATTATTTTGTTTTTGTTATTTCCATTGTTATATTATTGTTATTAGTATTGTTATTAGATTGTTATTTATTTATGTTATTATTATCTTTGTTTTATTTTTATTTTTGTTAAGATTACTATTACTACTATTACTACTATTACTACTATTACTACTATTACTACTATTACTACTATTACTACTACTACTACTACTACTACTGCTGCTGCTGCTGCTGCTGCTGCTGCTGCTGCTGCTGCTGCTGCTGCTGCTGCTGCTGCTGCTGCTGCTGCTGCTGCTGCTGCTGCTGCTACTGCTACTGCTACTACTACTGCTACTGCTACTACTACTACTACTACTACTACTACTACTACTATTACTACTATTATTATTACCATTACCATTACTATTACTATTACTTTTTTCTATGATTGCTATACTTCTCTTAAAAATTTTATAAAAGAGAGAGACCTAAATATGACAACTCATTTTCCATGCACCATTTTTTTTCCTTTTTTACATTCCAAGACTTTAAAAGTGTAAATGTCGCCGTTTTTCTTGAGCAATGTCCAAATTAGCAGAAAAGTTTAACAGCAATTGTAAAGGTAACGAAAGACCGTAAAAAATGGAGTTTCTACACACTTGTACTATGCATGAAAGCACAAGGTCTGTCTTTGTTGCTTTCCGTTGAATTGAGCTGCGTGATATACGTTTACCAGCGCCCGACGCATTAATATTGAGAGAACTCTGAAAGAAAGACAATAATCAGGTGAACCGAATGAATCAACAAGCATTTCTGGCAATGGTGAAAATTGACTGAAATGGCCGTCATTTTTTTTTAGGGATTACCGAAGAAATTATTTTAAGGGCAATGACAGTAAGCGCTACTTAACGAGTCAAGGGATTGATTGCAAAGGGCGCGTTTTTCTTTCTTTTTTTTCTGGGCGTAGTTGTTTTGATATCATGTTTGCATTTGTTTCCCCTCTCGCGGTCATCATTCTTTGAGCGTGTTTGCATTTCGTTTCCCTGGCTCGGTTGTTTCGTTTACATTGGCTCTTTTGTTCTGAAGTCGCTTTGATTCTGTTTGCATTTGCTTTCCTTGATGATGTTTTGAACATGTTTACCTGGCTTGTCGTATTTGCATTTGTTTTCCATGGCGTCGTTTGATTGGTTATAATTGCTTTCCCCGGTGCGGTTGTCTTGATCACGTTTGCAATTTTTATTTTTAGTGGAATCGTTTTAATCGCTTTTGGGTTTACTTTATCGTTTTGATCACGTATGTTTTTTTTTTTTTTTTTTGTTATCACATTTGCATGTTTTTCATCTCATTTTAATTTGTTTCTGATCATGTTTGTATTACTTACCCCTGTTGCTGTCGTGTTGATGTTCTGTGGTTCTATAGTATTAACTTACTTTATTTTCTTTATTTCGTGCATTTGTGTAGCACATTGTACATTGGCAACGAATGGATGTTAGTGATGGAATCTACATGCTGTAAACGTTTACCTCGAGAAATGGTCCTAGGTTCTTTTTGTATAGGATAATTATGCCCAGTTTTCTTACCCCCGAATGATAGAAAAGCATGGAGAAGTAGCACCATGCATGAGAGCAATTGCATGATATTTTGTGTACTTTTAGGTTTAGGTGAACTTCGCACCGCGGATGAAGCAGGTGCGTGCAAGATCCCTCTGCCTTTCTGCAAACAGAGGGCTAAACTTTCACTTGCCCGCAGGAACTGGACGTAATAGAAAGTGTTGATGTGCTTTAAAGCTACCTTTGGGTCCTGAGCTTTTGTCTTTTTTCAACTCGATCCTGCCGGGCGGGAAATTGTGTGCGCCGGTGTTTGTGCGTCTTTCTCTTTCTCTTTCTCTTTCTCTTCTTTCTCCTCTTCTGTCTCTGCTAGGCTTCATTGATTTCGTTGCATTACATACTTTAGCGTGTTATTTTCACTCTCAGTTTAGCTGTTATTCATTCATCTCTCTCTCCCTCCCCCTCCCCTCCCCTCCCCTCCCCTCCCCCCTCCCCTCTCTCTCCCACTCTTTCCCTCTTTCTCGCCCACTCTCTCGCCCTCTCCCTCTCTGTCTCTCTCTTTCCCTCTCTGTCTCTCTTTTTCCCTCTCTGTCTCTCTCTTTCCCTCTCTTTCCCTCTCTGTCTCTCTCTTTCCCTCTCTGTCTCTCTCTTTCCCTCTCTCTCTCTCTCTCTCTCTCTCTCTCTCTCTCTCTCTCTCTCTCTCTCTCTCTCTCTCTCTCTATATATATATATATATATATATATATATATATATATATATATATGTATATGTAATATGTATCTATCTATATCTATCTATCTATCTATCTATCTATCTATCTATCTATCTATCTATATGTATATATATATTTCTCAGTTTTCACTTTCTCTCCCTCCCTTCTCTCCCACAGCTACAAAGACGAACCATAGTCTCGTCTGTGCTGGAGAATGACAAGATAAATTCGGTGTTACGTTTCATTGACGTAATAGCAGTTTAGACGTTAAGAGTGTGACCTTACTTTCCTCTGTCGTAGATCGTATTGAATGAGAGAAGAGAAAAGGACGAGTAACTAGTGGCTCGACGCTTTGACCCGGCCTTCGACCCGTGCTGAACTAGTTAGGAGAAATCGAGAGTGATTCTCCGGTTCCTTCTTCCTCTCCCTCCCCCCCCCTCTACCTCCCCCCCTCTCCATCCACTCTCCCTTTCTCCGCCCTCCTCCTACCCTCACAGCCCCCCATCCCCACCCCCACCCACGGAGCAGTAACGCCAACAGCTTTCTTTACGGGAGAAACGCAGGTCGAGGGAAGCCGGGATCGTGCGGTGCATCGCAACACGTTTACCTTCACCGGTCGTGGAGGCCAGACGCGGTGTTTTTAGCCCGCTGCCATTAAATGCACAATAGACATTTGCTTATTAATCTTTGTCTGTCCCGGATGTTTGTTTCTTTTGTGCTGTCTGGTTCTTTGCTAATTCATTTCGTTGGTGGGTTTGTTCTTGCGGTCCTTGTGAGTGTGAATTGAGAGAAAGATGAGAAATGTGTCGTCTTTTTTTAGCCTGTACGTGTGTGTGTGTTACTTCATTTCGCTCAAGCAATCTCAGTGTCATTCAACGTTCTTGCTCCTGTTCGATGAAAGGCTTCGTCACAGCGTCCATCCGCGTGCTCTCGAGACGTGGCGTAGATATGGTTCTTATCCTGGTTTGTTTGTGTCTCGGTGTGTGTGTGTGTGTGTGTGTGTGTGTGTGTGTGTGTGTGTGTGTGTGTGTGTGTGTGTGTGTGTGTGTGTGTGCGTGTGTGTGTGTGTGTGTGTGTGTGTGTGTGTGTGTGTGTGTGTGTGTGTGTGTGTGTGTGTGTGTGTTCGATATTATGATAGCAGCGCCACTCCCTTTTTTTTCTTCTCCACTTTCTCTACAGGTTCGTAGCTATTCTCTTGAGGCTTCGGGTTCGTCAGCATTTTACAGGGTTCACTCGGGGATCTTGCTTGCTTTCATGATTTGGGTGGTTTGAGGATTTTCTGTTGAACATTTCCACGTGTATTTCCTTCAGGCCATCTGATATGCTCTTTTGTCTGTCTCTGCTCCCCCTCCCCTCCCCCTCCCCCTCCCTCTCCCTTTCCCTTCATCCCTCCCTCCTTCCACCCCTCCCCCTCCTCGCCTCCATACCTTTCTCCCCCACCTCTTCATCGCCCTCTCTTACAGCATCGAAACTTTCAGACAACTTTTTTCCGTTTCTCCAACCAGAAGTAACTTTTTCGATCCATCGTCGTCATTTTTTTCCGTGCTGTTTTTACGCGGGGTATTACGCAAGAAGATACCATAGATGTGAATCCCGCGGAGAAACGCAGTTGATATCCATTTTTTATTATTATTTATTTTTATTTGTATTTTTTTTTTTTTTTTTTTTTTTGCGGGGGATTATATTTGTGGGTGGATGGGGGGGGGGGTGGAAGGAGGACAAGAGGAGGCAGATATACACGTGTTGCTTTCTTAGATTTGCGCATAATGTGGCGAATGTCGAGTTAGAAATGTTAAGTTTTTATGTTTTCGTTTGTATATATATTCTTCCTCGTTTGCATAGTTGTTGTTGATGATATCATTTTTATATATGAAAAATGGTAATTGTAATAATATGATTATGACATTAATGATACTGTTATTGTTGCTACTGCAGATGGTAATAATGATGATTATCGAAAAAAGAAGAAGAATGATAATAATGATAATAATGATAATAATAATATTAATAATAATGATAATGGTAGTGATAATAATAATACAATCAATAAAGAATATAACAATTACATTGTTATGTTACCAATACAAATAATTATAGAACTGATAACGGTAACATTATTTATGATGATGGT